GCACCTCGCTGCGGGGATTCGAACTGCCGACCTTTCGATCGGCAAGTCCTAGGCACTGAGGCTTTAACCCACAGCGCCACCCGCGCCCGGAGCCGAATTACCCAGGGGCAAAAAGCAAATCATGCTTTTCTTTTCTTTTTGAAAGAGGGAAGTGGGTGTTGAAAAAAATCCGCTGATCGTTTGCCGATTGGGGAGAGAGATAAGGGACGCTAGAGATAAAGGAGGCTGCCTGGGAGGGGGGAGGTAAAGACAGCAAACTTGCAAAGGGGAAAACAGGAAGACTAAAGCAATAAGGAGAGAAATTAGAAGAAAAGGAGGAGCAGAAAACTGCTCCAGCTAAGGAAAAGACACTAAGGCAAACAAGAGGGAAGGGAGTGTTGAAAGGAGGCAGCTGATTGGTGGGATCGGAAGAGAGATAAGGGACGCTAGCGGAGGCTGCCTGGGAGGGGGAAGGTAAAAGCCCATGGATCCTCAGGATTTTTACATTGGGTCACCCCAAATTCACCATCAGATCACATAGCATGTCCATGGCTACAGCCTGCACCAAAAAAACCACGCACCCACTGTTTTGTGGGGCCGCAATGGTGCAAAAACGTGGTTACAAAGCACGGATCCACATGGATCCTCAGGATTTTTGCACTGGGTCACCCCAAATTCACCATCAGATCACATGTCTGTGGCCACAGCCTGAACCACAAAAATAATACATCCACTGTGTCGTTCAGAATATTTTTTTTCTTGTTTTCCTCCTCTAAAAACTAGGTGCGTCTTATGGTCAGGTGCATCTTATGGAGCGAATAATACGGTGCCTGAACTGGGGGCAACAGACAGAAAGGGAACCTATCCTTCGTAAGATTTCCTCGTAAGTAACAGCCTTCTCTCTCTCAGGCGCTCCTTCCTTCCTGCTGCTGCTGCTGTTTTGTTCTTTTGTTAAGCTCAGGGCTGCCTGATGGCCACATGGAAGCTCGTACAGTGGCACCTTGGCTTAAGTACCGTACTTAATTCGTTCCAGAGGTCCGTTCTTAACCTGAAACTGTTCTTAACCTGAAGCACCACTTTAACTAATGGGGCCTCCCGCTGCTGCCGCGCCGCCGGAGCACAATTTCTGTTCTCATCCTGAAGCAAAGTTCTTAACCTGAAGCACTATTTCTGGGTTAGCGGAGTCTGTAACCTGAAGCGTATGTAACCTGAAGCGTCTGGAACCTGCCGTACCACTGTACATACATACACACACTCACAGACACACACACACACACACACATATATCACATACATATACATATACATATATATACATACAGTGGTACCTCGGATTAAGAACTTAATTCGTTCCGGAGGTCCATTCTTAACCTGAAACTGTTCTTAACCTGAAGCACCGCTTTAACTAATGGGGCCTCCTGCTGCCGCCGCGCCACTGGAGCACAATTTCTGTTCTCACCCAGAAGCAAAGTTCTTAACCTGAAGCACTATTTCTGGGTTAGCGGAGTCTGTCACCTGAAGCGTATGTAACCTGAAGTGTATGTAACCTGAGGTACCACTGTACTCAGAATGGCTTTGTTCGCCAGGAGTAACAAACTTTTGGCTCCTTTACTCCATAAAGAAGCCTTAACAATTGATTTCTGCCCTGCGCTTGCGGCATCTATTCCAAACTGGGACAAAGCCCTGCAAAAGTCAAGGGTCTGTGTTTTATCTGGGGCTGGGGGGGTGTCGTTCCCCGACCTTCCCTTGGGACCCAGGCGAGACCCTCTTCCTCGGTTTCCCCGCTCCCCTCTTTGCAGCCAGCAGCATTGCCAGAGGCAACTTTTGCTGGCATGGGCTTTTGTGATAACAGGATTCCATCCCTGGGCCAGCCACATTTTGCTTTCCTTGGCCAGGAGAAGAGAACAATGGTCCGGGAGCACGCCAGGAAACTCTAATAAATGGGATGAAAATATCTCAGAAAGGCAGGCATGGGGCCCGCAAATTATTTATAAAAGGCATTTCAGGCCGGCGTAAAGGGCAGGTGAGGAGGTCAGAAAAAACACAAGGCCCAGCCCAAGCCCGGATGGGGAAAAAACAGAGAGAAAGAAAAATTGGCGCCATTTCAGAGCGAATGGTAAAAAAAAGGGCTGCACTCAGGGAAAAAACACACAAAGGGAATTTTCCACCCTTCTCGGGCCTTTTTCAAGCCTTCTGTAATTCGCTTGTCCACTCAGAAGCAAAACAGAGAGGATTCAGCGGGGTTTACTTCTAGGTAGGATTCAAGGCTAAGTCTTGCTCCATGGCCATAGAATCATATACAGTGGTACCTTGGTTCTCAAACTTAATCTGTTCTGGAAGTCCGTTCCAAAACCAAAGTGTTCCAAAACCAAGGCCCGCTTTCCCATAGAAAGTACAGTGGTACCTCAGGTTACATACGCTTCAGGTTACAGACTCCGCTAACCCAGAAATAGTACTTCAGGTTAAGAACTTTGCTTCAGGATGAGAACAGAAATCGTGCTCTGGCGGCGCGGCAGCAGCGGGAGGCCCCATTAGCTAAAGTGGTGCTTCAGGTTAAAGAACAGTTTCAGGTTAAGTACGGACCTCCGGAACAAATTAAATACTTAACCTGAGGTACCACTGTAATGCAAAATGGATTCATTCATTCCAGACTTTTAAAAACAACCCCTAAAACAGCAATTGAACATGAATTTTACTATCTAACGAGACCATCGATCCATAAAATGAAAGCAATAAACAATGTACTGCAGTCACACAATCAATCATTAGCTGAACTGGGTTCTACACAGTCACAAAAACAGAACAAACAGAGCCACAAAAGCAAAAATGCAAAATAAATAGCAAAAACAGACCTCAGCGTAACACTCAAAACGGAAGTGTGGCACTCAAAATGGAAGCGTAACACTCAAAATGGAGCACGTTTGGCTTCTGAAAAAAGTTCGCAAACTGGAACATACACTTCCGGGTTTGCAGTGTTTGGGCTCCGAGTTAGTTGAGTACCAAGGCGTTTGAGAACCAAGGTACCACTGTAATGGCAAAATTGGAAGGGATCACAGCTAGAGAGTCCCTGACAGATGGCCATCCAGCCTCTGCTTAAAAACCTCCAGTGAAGGAGAGTCCAGAGCCTTTTGCACTGTTGAATGGCTCTTAATGTCACAGAGTTCTTGCCAATGTTTAGTTAGCATCTCCTTTGTTGTACAGTGGTACCTCAGGTTACATACGCTTCAGGTTACAGACTCCGCTAACCCAGAAATAGTGCTTCAGGTTAAGAACTTTGCTTCAGGATGAGAACAGAAATCGTGCTCTGACGGCGCAGCAACAGTGGGAGGCCCCATTAGCTAAAGTGGTGCTTCAGGTTAAGAACAGTTTCAGGTTAAGAACGGACCTCTGGAACGAATTAAGTACTTAACCTGAGGTACCACTGTATTTTGAACCCATTGGTTTGGGTCCTGCCCTCCAGAGCAGCAGCACCTTGCTCTACCACACAAGAGCCCTTCCGATATTTGAAGAGGGCTACCATATCAGCCAGGGACATGGGTGGCGCTGTGGGTTAAACCACAGAGCCTAGGACTTGCCGATCAGAAGGTCGGCGGTTCGAATCCCCGCGATGGGGTGAGCTCCCGTTGCTTGGTCCCTGCTCCTGCCAACCTAGCAATTGGAAAGCACGTCAAAGTGCAAGTAGATAAATAGGTACCGGTCCAGCAGGAAGGTAAATGGCATTTCCGTGTGCTGCTCTGGTTTGCCAGAAGGGCCTTAGTCATGCTGGCCACATGACCTGGAAGCTGTACGCCGGCTCCCTCGGCCAATAAAGCGAGATGAGCGCCGCAACCCCAGAGTCGGCCACAACTGGACCTAATGGTCAGGGGTCCCTTTACCTTTACCTTACCATATCAGCCAACTTAGCCACTTGGAGCAAAACAAACACCAGGAGGCTTAGTTTGGTGAAAATTGTGTGCACACTTCTAGTGTTAATACATTAATTCCGGTAAATGGCCCACCATAGATGCTAGAGGGCCGTGAAGATTTGTATCCCAGGCTTTTTAGACTCGTCTTCCCATGTACCATCTGAAACCAAAGGGGCACATTGTTTGCCGGATCTGATGTTTTTCCAGGTCTCCTTAGAAGCCTACGCTGGCATTAAAAGATTAATCATTGTTATGTATTCAGTGGTCTGTGCTTGTCTGAGTTTGAGTCTGGACTAAGGATTCTGAGCCTGTGTTCTGATTTGATACATGATATCCAATGGGACACAGGTGGCGCTGTGGGTAAAACCTCAGCGCCTAGGGCTTGCCGATCGCATGGTCGGCGGTTCGAATCCCCGCGGCGGGGTGAGCTCCCGTCTTTCGGTCCCAGCTCCTGCCCACCTAGCAGTTCGAAAGCACCCCTAAGTGCAAGTAGATAAATAGGTACCGCTTTATAGCGGGAAGGTAAACGGCGTTTCCGTGCGCTGCGCTGGTGCTGGCTCGCCAGAGCAGCGATGTCACGCTGGCCATGTGACCCGGAAGTGTCTGCGGACAGCGCTGGCCCCCAGCCTCAAGTGAGATGGGCACACAACCCAGAGTTGGACACGACTGGCTCGTACGGGCAGGGGTACCTTTACCTTTACCTATCCAATCACAGAACATTTCAGGATTTGAGCCTCTGCCATTGGCCCTTAAACTCTGAGTCGTGATTCGCAGCTTGGAAGTTTAGACAGCCAATCCCATTGGGAGTGGGAGTGGCCCCGGCCTTCAGAAATATATATAAGCAGTTGCTTTGCCCGTGTTGTCCAGTTCTGTTAGTGCAATAAAGGTTCTTGCTGTTATTGCTGTGTCTTGCTTCGTGGGACCCCACCTACACTTCAATCATTATGAAGATTGCCCCCTAAAACAACACAGCCCCCTCTTCCAATAGCCCCCAAAAATGCTCTCAACTCCCATATTGGCTTTTTAATTTGAAAAACTTTACTACTAGAAAAGACAGTTAAAGATGCATCTAAGTTTATGCAAGTAATTATTTTTAACAAGTGCTCAGAAGACAAATAGGAAGAACCCCAAAGAGACATTTTTCACTTTCTTGGGGCTTGATTCATTTCCTCTCCCCCCAGCTGGAGAAAGGTAACTCCAAACAATTATATCCAGTACACTTATTGAGCTAAATGTGCTCCACTGCGTCTAATACAACATTTGTCCTTCTCATTTCCTTTTGAAGAGAAACAGGCATGGCTGATCCTTGCTAAACTTTGTGGAGTACCATGCAAACTATGACCTGGAACCAGAAGATTGTTCAGCTGCCAGCCATTCCCCCACTGAAGTCTACTCGTTCTTTGAAAGGGAAAATTGCAGCCTTGAACCGAGAATATATTCTCATCCTCCATTTTTCGGATGTGGACGCTGGTTTCTAATAACGCCCCAATAACACCCAACAAAGTTAACTGGAAAACCAACAGGAGAGTCAAATAAATTATTGGGACAAGGAGAGTTGTGGAAATTTGGCACCACCAAAAATCACCGTGGGGGAAGTACGTCTTTGGCTGCCCCTTCCTGAAGAAGGCCGTCCAAAAATGAGCGAAGTAGAAAGCAAGTTGGTTGATAGAGAGGTCTCTGGAAGGGCAGAAAAATGGAAATCTCTAGCTCAGCTCCGGCAATCGCCAAAAGTCCTGCAGCAGCCGGCCTTCCCGGTAAGACAAACATTGCAATAAAGATCTAGAGAAGGCCTTCAATTACACGGAAGACATCTTGATGGGTGTTTCTGCTGTCTCGCGTCTACGAGCTGAGACTCCAGTTGCACCAGTTCTTGGGCTTTCTGGACCCTGTGCTCGATGTACTGATGGGCCTCCTCGTCTTCCGGTTGCTCCTCGTGAGCCGTTTCACGCGAGTACATCAGGTCGTGATCCGATATGCCGAACATGTGCAAAGAGTGGAGATACGCAATGTGCTCGTCCAGCTGCAGGTCCGAATTCCTTTGGTTGGCATGCAAAGACTGGAGCTGCAGTTGCGTCACCGAGCTCCTGGTATCTTCCAGCGTGAACAGTTCCCTCAGCTCCTGCTTGGTGAAATACCTGTAGGGGTTCTTCTTATCGCCCGTGCCCTGCCGTATGAGCGAGTCCTTGAAGACTTGGCGCCGGTAGATCCTTTCCTCCACCGTCCCACAGGTGATGAGCCTGTAGATCACAACGTTCTCCTTCTGCCCGATCCTGTAAGCCCGGTCGACGGCTTGGGCATCCGTGGCGGGGTTCCAGCTGGGGTCAAAGATCACCACGCGGGAAGCAGCAGTTAAGGTGAGCCCAACGCCGCCCACCTGCGTGGTCAGGAGGAAGACCGAATAGCCTTTGTCGTTCTGAAACGCGCCAATCCTCTTCTCCCGCTCCGCTAGGCAAGTCACCGTCCCGTCGATACGCATCACCTTAAAACGCCGATGAGTCAAGATGCATTCTATGATATCGAGCATTTTCCTCGACTGGGAGAACACGAGAGTTTGGTGCCCTTCTTCCCGCAGATTCTCCAGCAGCGCCAAGAGGAACCTCAACTTGCCGGACTCCTCAATCAGAACCTGACTGGGCACGTTTTTGATTTCCCGGGTCATGTCAGAAACGGCCTCAGCTTCCCCTTCCTCTTGCTCAGAGTAGCCCGAGACCTCCAAGCCGAGCTGGATGCAAGCTTGCGCCGACAGAAGCCTGGGGTGATCACACAGTTTCTTCAAGACGGTCAACTCAGCCAACGGGGAACGAGTCGTCATGAGCAACTCCTTGATATGGTCCAAGTCGAGGAAGTTCCTATAGATTTCTTCTTGCATGGGCGCTAAGTAAACCCACACAATGAAGTCGTTTTTTCTGGGGAGAGATGGCATCTCTAGAACAGCAGTGCTGTTCTCCTCTCCCGGCAAACAGCTTTCTCGTTCTGAGCTCTGCGTCTGTATCGTGCCTTTACTTCGCCGCAAGAAATACGGCTGAATGATGGTCATCAGGTTCTCGGAGATCTTAAGGCCTAGGGCTTTTTCTCCGGGAGTTGCGTCCTTCTCCCGGGCCTTGGTGATGGGGTTTTCATACTCCATCCGGAAGGTTTTGGCAGTGCCAAGCAGTGCCCCTTGGCAAGCAAAATCAAAGAGAGCCCACAGCTCTCGTAGGTTGTTCTGCACTGGCGTCCCAGTGAGGAGGATGCGGTTTTTGGCGGGGATGGCATACACCGATTTGGTGGTTTTAGCCGACGGCGATTTTATCTTGTGCGCTTCGTCCAAGATGATGTAGTCCCAGACGAACTCCTGCTGGTCCGAAGTGGAGAGCTGTTCGCAGTTGGCCAAGATCATCTGGTACGAGGTGAGAAGGACCCCCTTTTTGTTCTGCACCCGTTCCAGGTTCTGGCGCCGTTCCTTCCGGCTGTTGCCGTGGAAAACCTTCACCCGGATTCCCGGGGCCCACTTGACAAACTCTTGCACCCAGTTGTTAACCAAGGTAACTGGCATGATGAGTAGAACGTGCCTGACCAGGTTGGCATCGAACATCCCTGAAAGAAAGGCGATGATCTGGATGGTCTTTCCCAAGCCCATGTCGTCGGCCAGAATACCACCTTTCCTTCCATCCCGGAAGAGACTGTACAAAAAGGCAACCCCTTCCTTCTGATGCTCAAACAGCTTGTCGTGTATCTCCTTGTACAACAGGAGCCCACTCTGGCAGACGTCCACATATTCATCCGACTCCTGATCCAAATCCAGGGTCACCAACTTCTCCTCCAGGTTTTTGATGCACCCCTTCAGACTTTCGCTGGGCTGAATTTCATCAGCCTGGCTGTAAAGTTTGAGGGATTCTTCCAGATTTCCGTTCATGGACTCTTGCTCGGCTTGGGTCACATATCTGCAAAGCACAACATAGTGACTGTTTAGAAGAGCAGGTGGGGGGAAACCAAAAAATTGGGGGCTGCCAGTCCACTTTCTACAGGGATGGAGGTCCTTTCTGGCTCCACAAGCCAGAGTTTACTGGTAGGTAGGGTTGTCAATCACTTGGCATCATAGGTGCAAGGTGCTTTGAAGTCCCCAAGTTGGGACTTCAAAGCACCTTGCAAGGAAGGTGTTTTCCTCCATTTTAGCAGTTTGACTTCCTTCCCCCTCTTTCTGTGGTTCCTTAAATTTATTTTTAATACCTTCTGCATATCCAAATTTATTCAATTTGCTCATTTAATTATCTGCTTTAAATATAAACTCTTATGAAACTGCAGGTTATTACAATAACCCTGCCCATGTTTTTATCTGTTTGCAATTTATCTGTAAATATTCCACAAACCATTTCCATTCTTTTATAAAAAGTTTGTTATCTTGATTTCTTATTCTTCCGGTAAGTTTCGCCATTTCTGCATATTCCATAAGTTTTTGTATCCATTCTTCCTTTGCTGGGACCTTCTGCTTTTTCCCATTTTTGGGCAAGCATCATTCTTGCTACTGTAGAAGCATACATAAATATATTTCTATACAATTTAGGTACAGTGGTGCCCTGCAAGACGAATGCCTCGCAAGACGAAAAACTCACTAGACGAAAGGGTTTTCGGTTTTTGGAGTCGTTCCGCAAGACGAATTTCCCTATGGGCTTGCTTCGCAAGACGAAACGTCTTGCGAGTTTGTTTCCTTTTTCTTAAAGCCGCTAAGCCGTTAATAGCCGCTAAGCCACTAAGCTGTTAATAGCCGCTAAGCCGCTAATAGCCGTGCTTCGCAAGACGAAAAAACCGCAAGACGAAGAGACTCGCGGAACGGATTAATTTCGTCTTGCGAGGCACCACTGTAGTTCTGTCCCTATAATCCCCAAAATTCTTTTGGGAATGCAAGACAGATTCTCTACCAATGAACCACGGCAGTTCCCTAGAGTTCTTACATGAGCCCTGCATCGCAGGCCGAAGCAGCACAGGGCAGACGCTGGTTTGTCACCCGAGGGAGAATTCGGACAGGACTCTCACCTTTGATACTGCTCCACCTGCCTGCGAGACGTTTTCTTCTTCACTACTGTCATCATGATGCTGCTGTAGAACCAACCAGCAAGAAATCTGATTTAGTAACCCTGGAAATAAAGGAAAACAAGAGGTGAATAGGGTGGGATGGATGGGCGAACCGAGAGTCTTAAAAGTACCGTGATGTTGGAAGTGTAAAGAAAAAAGACGGCACTTTTTTCATATGTGGTGGGAATGCAAAATAATTCAGAATTACTGGGAAATGATTTGTAATGAAATGAAAAGAATGTTTAAGGTAAGCTTTGCTAAAAGTCCAGAAGCTTTTTTAATTAGGCATTATAGGTCAATCAAATATACTTTATTAGCCATAGCAAAACATATTATCAAACAGACAAATTGTGCAAAATACGAGCTCAACATAACAAGGTTTGTCCCAGTCAGATCTTAAACTCCAGGGAAAATCAATTTGCATAAATAATACAATACAACATTACTGCATCACCAATCAATTAAGAACCACTAAATCTCTTTTTAAGAACCACTAAATATCTTTTTTTTATAGGGATGCGGGTGGCGCTGTGGGTAAAAGCCTCAGCGCCTAAGGCTTGCCGATCGAAAGGTCGGCGGTTCGAATCCCCGCGGCAGGGTGCGCTCCCGCTGCTCGGTCCCAGCGCCTGCCAACCTAGCAGTTCGAAAGCACCCCCGGGTGCAAGTAGATAAATAGGGACCGCTTTCTAGTGGGAAGGTATACGGCGTTTCCGGGTGCTGCGCTGGCTTGCCAGATGCAGCTTTGTCACGCTGGCCACGTGACCCGGAAGTGTCTGTGGACAGCGCTGGCCCCCGGCCTCTTGAGTGAGATGGGCGCACAACCCCAGAGTCTGTCAAGACTGGCCCGTACGGGCAGGGGTACCTTTACCTTTACCTTTAAATCTCTTTATAATGGCCCAGTCTTTCTAAATGGACAGCACTCAAAAATTCAGCCACTATTAAAGTAATTTGATCATTCTATAGGTCAAGACTTGCCAAAAGAGAAGAAGAAACTTTTTACGTTTGTTACAACGGCAGCTAGGATGCTGCTAACTCAAAAATGGAAAAGTGACGAGATACCAGCTAATGAAGAATGGAAAGAAAACTAATAGATCATGCTGAAATGACAAAACTAACTGAAAGATTAAGAGACTAAGACAATAGAGACTTCAAAAAAGATTGGGAACCATTTATGTTGTATCTACAGAAGACCTTCTGGGAAAGGATATATAATGAGATGAAAAAGATGTTGAAATATACATTTTTTTAAAAACCAGAAGCATTTTTACTTGGTATTATAGGTTAGGACATTAATAGGCAAGATGTTAAATTGTTTTTATATGCAACAACAGCGGCAAGAGTATTGTTAGCCCACAAATGGAAAGAAGAAGAAATTCCGACGAAAGAAGAATGGCGGACGAAATTAATGGACTCTGCAGAATTGGACAAAATGTCAGGAAGGATTCGAAACCTGCAGGACCAGAGATTTACAGAAGATTGGAAGAAGTATATGAATTATTTGAAGATCAACTGTAATCAACAAATTACGCTAGAAGTTTTGTAAGGAGAAATATACGAAGTGTTACAAAGTAGAAAAAGATAGAGATATTGGTTATGAGTTTGAAATGTAACAGGGACGATAAGAAATGCATACTGAGAGATTAGACTGGAAATTTTTCAGACAGGATTGATGGAAGTCAAAAAAATTGAGTAAGATGTAAAAGTATGTTTAATCACTGTTGAAAATGATATGTTAAAAAACTAATAAAAATTTATATATATATAAAATGTTGTATCTACAGAAACATTGTAAAGAAACGGACTCACTAGCAGGATTTGACTAAGCACAACCAACAAAAAGAATACAGAAAGCATTTAATTTAGAGAATACGATATTAAGGTACAATAAACTAACCAGGAGAAGTTAATATACCAAAAACCAGAAGAGGAAGCTGAGGGAAGTCGTGGGGGTGTTATTTGGTATTGTTCTTTTATTTGGTATGATGTTCTTGTGACAAAGCTAGAAATGTAAAACTTAGTAAAAACTATTTTTTTTAAAAAAGTACCGAGGGTGCAGGGAAGGAAAGCACTGTGCGAAATAAGAGGCAGCGATGTGCAGTGGTTAGTGTGTTGGACTAGGACCTGGGAGAGGCACGGGTTCAAATCCCCACCCAGGTACGACGCTCAGTGGCTTGGGCCAGTCACTATGTCTCAGCCTAAGCTACCTCACAGGGCTATTGTGGGGATTAAATGAGGAGTAGGGCTATGGGTTAAACCACAGAGCCTAGGACTTGCCGATCAGAAGGTCGGCGGTTCGAATCCCCGCGACAGGGTGAGCTCCTGTTGCTCGGTCCCTGCTCCTGCCCACCTAGCAGTTCAAAAGCACCTAAAGCGCAAGTAGATAAATAGGTACCACTCTGGCAGGAAGGTAAATGGTGTTTCCGTGCACTGCTCTGGTTTGCCAGAAGCTGCTTAGTCCTGCTGGCCACATGACCCGGAAGGAAGCTGTATGCCAGCTCCCTCGGCCAATAAAGTGAGATGAGCGCCGCAACCCCAGAGTCGGCCACGACTGGACCTAATGGTCAGGGGTCCCTTTACCTTTTAGGGGAAAACCATGTGCTAGAAATGCAACAAAGGAACAAAAGGATCATTACGAAATGACAATAATGATGATGACAAAATGCCAAAATATTTTAAGTATTGAAATGGAATTAGGAAATGTATGTTACACCGAGGGAAGAGAAACAACTAATTTGAATTAGTTTGGTGTGGATTTGTTCAATTGATTTGAAAAGCGATACAAATCATTTGGCAAAGACAATAAAATTATCATTGCAGCTGGAAGATCTATGCCTGCTATCAGAGAAGGCAGAAACCACCCAGGTTTTAAGCGGCGGCTATAAACCACATCCTTTCGGGGGTCCCCTTTGAAGAACCAGCCCAAACCCACTTAAACCTGGGGCTTTTTTTAAAGAAGGTGATTGCTTAAAGTTTGATATAAGGTAAAAAAGTGAAGTATAGGAATGTGAAGAAATTGGTAAAGTGATATGGAAGTCTGTTAAAGGGAGGGAGCTTTATTTAAGCAATGCTTTAAGTTATAAATTCTTTGAATTTTGATTCTGAAATATGGAAAACTTAATAAAATTGTATTTTTTTAAAAAAACAACAACACTGGGGCTTTTTTCTCTTCTTACCAGCACAAAATAATTCTTCTTCGGGTTAGTCGGGAGAAGAGGAGGAGGAAAAGGAGAATAAACTGTGTCCTGAGAGGTTTGGATATCTGGGTGGAAAGAGAACTCTCTCCAGGCTGCAGCAGTATCAGTCATCTGCAGCTGTGCACAAATTTTGGGTGGAATGACACCTCTCCGGCCCAATGAGAAGTTGGGAGGAGGGCGGGAAAAGGCAAGGTACCTTAGCAATCCTGGCCACTCTCTCCAAAGAATTCTGGGAACTGTAGTTTGTTGAAAGGGTGCTAAGAGTGGTTAAGGAGCTCCCTGTTCCCCTCCTGGAACTACAATTCTCAGAATACCTTGCACTTGTTAACCTGCTCTGGGAATTGTAGGAGGGGCCTCCTAATAGCTCTCCGCACCTGTAACAAACTACAGCTCCCAGAATTCTTTGCGGGAAGCCATGGCTGTTTAAAGTGGTATCGTAGCGCTTTAAATGTATGGTGTGGATGTGGCCTCGTGGAGCTATGATTCTTTGAGTGGTTTAACCAGTCCTGGATTTTTGTATAGGGCCCCACTCTCTTGGGGGCCCCCAAAAAAATTTAAAGGGAAAAAAAACCTGGATGTACATTTCCAAAATATAAGATAAAAAACAGATAAAATAAAACCTACATACAGCACCAGTGTTTTGTGTTGTGTTGGCTCCTATGATGTAAGTGATGGGCCCCACCTG